AAAATAATTAATTTTAGGAGTCTGGAGACAAAAAATTCACACTTGACTTCAAATATATTTTTCATGAGAAACGCAGTTCTATTTTTTACGTCCAGCTTGTGACGTCCCAGGTCGCCTCGCCCGGAGTCCCTCCCCTAACCAGTGAACCAATTCCTTTAGTTTCCTCTCAGACGTGTTCGTCTTCAGTTTCCCACTCCCTAGCAAGGCGGGAGGGGAAGGAGGGCCCGGGCCCACCCACTCTCACGGGCCCCAGCCCAGGGCCCTAAGGGTTCGGGTTCCGTTTGACCCGACCCGGCTGACGGGGTGTGAACCCTTAATGCGTCAGCCCACCAGTCAATCCAGACTCTGCCCTGGGCTGCTTCCTTCCCTTCCCGCGCCGGCGCCACTTGGCACCCGGCCTTCCCGATCGGTTCGCTCACCGTCGATGCTCGGTGCCCACTCGGGAGGACCGGGGGATGGGTCAGCCGAGTGCTCCTTCAGCCACTGGCCTCCGTCGGGGGCGATCACCTCCGCTCCCCCTCCTTGTCTCTCCTCCGCCGGCCATTTTAAATCTGGCACCGGGGCCGTGACCCCAGCGTCTCCCGGCGGCCCCGCCTCTCACGTCCGGACGTCCTCCCGTTGCCGTGGCGACGTGCCCCAAGACCCCGCAGAGTCCGGCCGACGTCATCTGGCATGCCTAAGGCCAAAGCGCTCTGCACGGCTGCCGAGCAGCCCGGACAAAGCCGGCTGGCGCCTGGCATCCCGCCGTATAGTGCCGTTTGGGAGGGTGCCTCCGCACTGTGCGGGCCTGTCCCGTCATACAGCTACTGTACAAATACCTTTCACCTAGCATTGTGATAGCTTAATGGGCACATTTTAAGGAAAAAATAAGTTAAAATAATTTAAATGGCAACAATGTAGTAAAACAATCAGAGAAAAAAATATAGTTAAATGACTGTGTGGAGGGTGCAGGGTTAATTAGTTCAGTAAACAGACACAAAATGGACAGCTACGGCACAAGATCACCAATAGTCAACAGAATAAAAATGCATGATGACATGGGTTGGGGATGTGACTGCATGTTCCAAGATGATGAAAAAGAGCAGATATATTCATCACTTAAAAGCTTCTGGAAAATGTGCAAAGTCTAAAGAGGACAGGAAGAATTGTCAGAGACGAGACTGTATAGGGATCCTTAAAGCAGTCTAAATTCTGGGCAAAACAGAAGTTTATTGCAGTGCCACTGAATATTGTGACTGTCGGTATTATAGAATGAACGGAGACTTTTTGTAGGAGACACTGTAGGTATCAGGCAGACACATCTGAACATGAGACACAGAAAGAGACATTACCACAGCTTGCTACTCAAAGATGAAACAAGCAGAAATTGTCCCTGGTCTCCTTTGAAAACTGAAGTTATGAAGTGACCACAAGACATAAGGGTCTTGAGAAATATTTATGCACCACAAGAGGATTCAAAGAAGTGGAATCATAAGTTAATGAGGTTCTGGACATCTTTGACCCAGAAAGGACCAGGATGCAGAGATATGTAAAGTGCATTTATTTATGACACATTTCAGATCACAGGTTTTTACATAAATTCTTTCTACAAATTATTCAGTATTCTGCAAGAAGATACATACAGCACATATGCTTGCCATTGTTTGTAAAAGTGATGACAAGCTGAAGTTTAACCAACACAAACAAAATCTTTGCTTTGCTTCAAGTAATGAAAAATTACTGTGATGAGGTGTGGTCACTGAAATTCCTTTGAGATGGTTTCCCGGTGTGCTGATCATCCCACTGATACCCGCCTTCTTGTTCTGTGGGGCTCCTCCACCACCTAGTCCTGTTGGACCGGATCCCTGGTCTCTCTGGGTATGTCTACACTACCCTCCTAGTTCGAACTAGGGGGGGGTAATGTAGTCATATGGAGTTGCAAATGAAGCCCGGGATTTGAATTTCCCGGGCTTCATTTGCATAAAGCCGGCCGGCGCCATTTTTAAATGCCGGCTAGTTCGGACCCCGTGCCACGCGGCTACACGCGGCACGGACTAGCTAGTTCGGATTAGGCTTCCTAATCCGAATTAGCTGTACGCCTCATGGAACGAGGTGTACAGCTAGTTCGGATTAGGAAGCCTAATCCGAACTAGCTAGTCCGTGCCGCGTGTAGCCGCGTGGCACGGGGTCCGAACTAGCCGGCATTTAAAAATGGCGCCGGCCGGCTTTATGCAAATGAAGCCCGGGAAATTCAAATCCCGGGCTTTATTTGCAACTCCGTATGACTACATTACCCTCCCTAGTTCGAACTAGAGGGGTAGTGTAGACATACCCTCTCAGACAAGGCCCAGAGCACTGCAGACACTAAACCACTGGGAGATGCAGTTCTAGAGCACTGAACCCAGGAAATCAACCCCCAAATGGAATCAAAACACCAATTAAATCCACATTTCTCTGTGTAAAAGTTGTACATAAGGAAAACTCATGACTGATGTTTCTTTATCAATGAAAGAGAGATATACAGAGTGGTTCCCGCTCCCCCCAATTATTGACTCCAGATCTGGTAGTAAACAAAAATGTGTTTATTAAATGCAAACAGTAAGATTTAAGTCAGGGGTGGGCAAAAGGGCCTCTGCAGGCTGGATCTGACCAAAGGAGATCCTTCCGCTCCCTGCCCCCAGGCCAATCAGAACTTGGGGGTGGGAGCAGGGGCAGATGAGCGTTTTGCGGGGCCCAGGGCAGCACAATTTTGGGGCCCCACTTTGGAGACAAAATAGAAAAAAGGCGTCAAATGCGCACATTGGAGGCTATTTTTCATATTAAATGTGAATTGGGTAAATTTGATAGAAACTTAATGTAGCTGGATAATTTTTATTTTAATTATATTGTAATTCATTCTTAAACACAATTCTGCATTACTAATTAAACATTTTAATTTGTATTTAAGTCTACTATAGCTGTTTACCTCTTTTGGCAGCACATTCTCCAATTATCTCAGTAAAGTCCATTTCTTTACATAGGTCGTTTTCAATGGACCTACAAAATGCTCCTGGGTCACAGTCGATTCTCTTTGGCTGCCCATGACTGGTATTTGCCAGAAAGCGTTGGGTGTTCAGCAGCCAGGCAGCATTGGGACTTGCGGGGGCCAGGTGAAGTGTGGGTGTTGATGCTTTGGGGGGGCAGGCACGTTTGGGTATTTGGGGGGAGGCAGCATGTGGCTGTTGGGACTTGGGGGGCCAAGCAGCATTAGGTGTTAGGCTTGGGGGGGACAGGACAGGCAGTGGGTGGGGATGCAAACAC